CCCATTATCTAGTATTTGTTCTATAGCTGTGCAAATCCAAAAAGGTGAGCAACAGAGCATCATGTCTAAATCATATATAACTTCATAAGGAAAGGAAAAGAAATCCTAAAGTATGTCATTCAATGTTATGTAACACAGTATGTTAAGATTGCAGTTTGGGGAAAAGGGTCATTCCCCAAAAGGATTTGTCAGGAGCCTTACAAGATGTCACTTCAGTGGCATAAGTCAATGATAAGGGTAGATTCAATAATTTAAAATGAAACATGTAAGTGTGTAGACAGAATAAGACTTTATCAGGATATGAAGATACCCAAGCATATTGTTTATTACATTATGTAGTCCATAAACAGGCTGGATAGACACCAAATCAACCAATAAGTCATGTTAAAGTTGCTCAAATACATAAATTGAGATTTTTTAAAACAAGGTAAATGATGTTAAACAAAATAAAATAGCTTAAACATGTTTTCAAAGTATATTCATGTACAAGAAAACTTTAATGCAAAACAGGAACATGACTACAAATTTACTCTTTATTCGTCATATTAAATTTACAATTAATTCCTTTTCATTACATGTTTAGTGAACACAGGTATGTTTAAAACAATATAAACTATATTGATTTCAATTCATTTCCTGTTTTACATCTAACTTCATGTTTTTGACTGCTATGCGATTACCTTCCTTACATATACTGAGGCCCGTGAAGATCTGGATTAGATTAGGTCTCCAGCAACCCATGCTTGGCGTAAAAGGCGACTAACGGGATCGGGTGGTGAGACTCGCTGACTTGGTTGATGCATGTCATCAATCCCAATTGCGTGGATCGATGCTCTTGATGTCAATCACTGGATTGTGTGGTCCGATTATTTACAGACTGCCGTCAAATAGCTGGAATATTGTTGAGTGCGGCGTTAAACAACAAACCAAAACAAACAAAAACCTTACATACTGAATTTGATAAACAGTAAATGAGTGCAGTAGTCTATTCAGGCCAGAACTAAGTCAAACTTGTGGTGAACCGACCTAATGCTACCATCACACCAAAGTAGTTCTATTCCGTTCTACCCCGTTCTGGACAAAATGCCAAAACGGGCTGTGATCACTGTAGAACGCGTAGTTTGGCGTAAAATACGATGCTAGTTCGTTCATAAGCAGTCCTCAATACGTCTATCGCGTTCTTATCTCGCTCTTAGCCAGTCTTCAGACCTCAACCCAACAATGTTTCGAAGCAGTTCGAGCACGTTCGTAGCCTTTCTCAACCAGTTTTTAACCAGTTCAACCTCGTTCTACCTAGTTCACAATACGTCCAAGCCAATTCTAAATAATTCTTAACCTGACCAACTCGTTTGCAGTACGTCCTCATCTCGTCCCAAGTGCGTATGTATTCGCGTCCTGGCCCGTACTGGCCTGTCTCCTATGGATACCGAGTGCATTATAGCCAGTCTTCATTCAAGTTCAGGGCTCCGAGCTGTACACATCAAACTAGTTTGGTGTGATGGGAGTATAAAGGCACTGTCTTCCTCTCATTATTGCAGTTAATGCGAATGTCATGCATTTCAGGGTTTAAATAAAAGTGAACAACAAACAATATAATTTTGCAAACTAGTAGACCAAATATGACATGTTCTAAACAATTGTTTAAAGAAACTGAAATGCAAGCACTCTCTATTCAGTTACCCATTATTCCCATTTATTTTTTTGAAATTATTATAAATAAACCATGGAGGCATGGAATAACATTGCCAGTAAAACTTCATGAATATTTAACTAATAGGGACATGGTTGGAGAACAAGACAGAAGGAGTTATGTGACAGACAGATACAGGAAATATTGTCTTGGAGTGGCCGTTCATGAAATAGCCCAGTGCATCATGTCACAGGAACAAGTTTTTAACCCTACAGAGGAAGAATCTGATTGTATTCAAAGACATGCTTTGCTACCGATAATGAAGAAAAGTACCCAACATCATTGCTCATGTCTTGTTTGTCCGAATTTGCCGCCATCTCACTATATTCTGCCAACTATATGGTCGCTGCATGTCAGGAGGGGTGCTTTTGATTGAATGGTGTTGAAGGTCAAGGTCAGTGATAGGCTGGAGTGTGGATATTGTTTAGGTGGGATGGAAGGAAGTGGCTATAAATCGTTTTTTGTTGTGCATATATATGTAATAATGTTGACATGATAATAATTTTAGATATGTTGATATACGTTCATATAATAATTAGATCCACAGCAAGTGCTTTTATAAGTTATCATGGTGTAACAGTTATGCATTTATAAAACAGCAAGAAATACATATTAATCAAGGAAAGAAGCAGATACAAAATATTAGTAGTTTCAGTTATAGCTTTTTAGATAGATGCTAGCCTAAGGTTACGAGAACCTATCTCCCAGACATATTCAATAAGACAAAAGATATATCAACATAGTCTTATAGATTGCCTTGAACTATTTGATTTAAGTAAATCTGTCATCACCTATATTAGAATAACATTCAGCAAATACTTCAATTTAGACTCATAAAGGATTCGCCCCCCATACAAGCTCGTCTATAAGTGATACCATAATCTCTTTACAAGCATCCAGTAAATATGTCAACAAGATTAGTGCCAGTCCAACAAGATTAACAAGATTGAGTATTCCCCTCCGTCTAGCCATTCATTAACCATAATGCACATCCCATTGTGTATCAACCAATCATATTCCTTTTTATTGTTCCAAAGTTTAGTTAAATAGATAGAGAAGCAAGATGTCAAGCAGAAGGGGTTTGTCGCTCTAACCAAGCAGACCTCTCTCCCACAGCCCAGAGGGTTGTACCGACTCTCTGTTGCACCCTCAGCTATATTTTAAGAGATTGTAAATTGTTCATGTTTCTTGTAAATAAAATTTTGATTAGACTCCGGTGACTCCGGCTGTCAAGCACGCCATTTGGAAGGTTTTGTACCTCAGAACAGAACCATTATAAAACCTACACTAAACCATGGATCCATCCCTGTGATCTCAAATTACCCACCTTTGATTTTCATTAGCCGATTTGATTAGCTTCTCTACTCAGTCTTGGACCAATCAGAATGCCAGTTACAAATCAATGTTAGTTGGCGATAATAACAACATGGCAGCCAGACTCATTGATTATGAGGGGCGGTCGAGTAGCCAAGTGGTTAAAGCGTTTGCTCGTCACGCCGAAGACCCGGATTCGATTCCCGACATGGGTACAATGTGTGAAGCCCATTTCTGGTGTCCCCTGCCGTGATATTGCTGGAATATTGCTAAAAGCGGCGTAAAACCATACTCACTCAGTCACTCATTGATTATGAAATTTAACATATAAAAACTGACTGACACACAAAAGAAAGCCCTAAAAAATCATATCTTCATATCTACCTCCCATTCCCCTTTCATTATCCCAACTTTTGATTGGTCAGTAAAACATTAATGAAAATCAAGGGCACATAATTTGCGATCGCGAGCACAATGGGAATGGATCCAGGTGTCAGTGTAGGTTACGGAAGTGTGACCCCGGACATACAGAGGATAGTAGGTGATCAGAAACTTGGAAATTAGGGTGGAAATATACAGTGAAACATTGATAGTCTTGTCTCTGTTAATCCAGAAAATGATGTCCAGTGAGACTGCCTATATACATTCCCCTGTCCATAGTTATTCCTTTATCCTGTAATATGCTAATCCGGGTTATTTCAAGGTACAATCTAGATTAGAGTTTGGCTGTCATATAGTAATACTGAAAATAAATACCCGGTACTAACTGAGATGAGATGAGATGAGATGAAGAAGTTTGGAAAAGACGGAGTGACTTAAAATACCAGAATGAACATGTACTTTGGAAAATAAGTCGCATTTGTTAGCCAAACATTTCTCATCTAATTGTTACTTTGGTTGAAAACAAGCCAGCAAATGATTTAGTTATATGTTTTTTACAGTATATACTAGAGAACAGAAATGCTGATAGTACCAATTTATATGACTACATGAGAACATTAACTTAAATGAGCTGAGACATAGTTTGTCAAACACTGATGTCCATTTCCTTTCCTCATGGTATCTGTTTTGGAGTGTGTTTGGTTTAATACCACTTTGAGTGAGTAAGTATGATTTTACGCCGCTTTTAGCAATATTCCAGCAATATCACGGCGGGGGACACCAGAAATGGTCTTCACACATTGTACCCATGTCGCGAATCGAACCAGGGTCTTCGGCGTGATGAGCGAACGCTTTAACCACTAGGCTACCCGACCGCTGTAATACCACTTTGAACAGCATGCCAGTTTAATGTAGGAGAAAAGCCCGAAGAGATGCAGGTTTCAGGAATTTTCTCTTTTGGTGAAATGATCTTGCATGGCGATGGTGCTGACAAACTAGAAATCATGACAGATCTGGGATTCAAACCCATAATCATAGGTTTGGGGCTTGTGAAAGGGATGTAACTCTGCACAGTGAATTGTGATGTCTTAGATGACTGGGCCACCCATGTCCCTGGTTAAAGTTTTTGACTTGTGAAACACCCAAAAAGTAAATGGAAATTCTCCAATATTGTGAGGTTACATTGATACTCTTTCCAAGTTTCAGATGAATCCCTGCTTCAAACACACATTCTAGAACAGCACTTTAAGTTATAGCTGGCATTGACCCTCAGCAAACAGGTCATCATAATTTACTCAACAAGTTTCTAAAACCAGGGTATTTGAAGCCAGTGCAATAATTGCTGTACACCACACTGACTAATATGTGATGCTTGAGTAAGTTTGTGTGATAGATTCTCGGGGTCCGTGATTCCAGCACCATTATAAACCTAGATGAGGTGTTACTAGGAGAATAATGATCCACCCTTGGCCCTGTGGCTGTTATGGACCAAAGAGGACCGGGGAGGGAGTGACTGTCATGTTTGTGTTTGATGTATTGCTGCAAGTAGCAGCATCGGTGATGAGGCTAATAGAGCTGTTGGTACTCTTAATTACACTGCACTGACTAACTCCCCTGTACGGAGTCCATCAGGACATGTTTGGAAAGTCTGAGAGGTGAGCTGTCGGTAATGGATAAAAAGATGCACAGAGAGACAGAAAGGAATGAGAGAGGGCCTGCACTGCCCTCTCTCTCCCTCTGGGTAAAGGCGAGTTGCACGCACGCTGACGACAATCGGAGATTTGCTGAGTCGCTTCAATGATATTGATCACACTATAGAACGATTCACTCAACTGAAAAATTGTACCAGCTTTTCAAAGCTGAGGAACCTGTCTGTTGCATCGGAATATTGTCTTGTTGCGTTAATGATACAGCTGAAGTGAAGTTGGGAGTTTGACGATGTACGGGGATTCGGACAGCGTGATGCCCCCTAGTGGCAGGGCATCAACCATGTCCTCGTCACTGTTTGTCTTCAACACAGAGCTGACGATATGTGGCGATACCCTTGGTACTCAGCTATTGGCACAGGTGAGATAATTACAGGTATTCCTACCTGGCAGGTAAAATGGCAGGTGTGTTTATGTTGTACTGTTAATTATTGATGCTAGATTGCTTTTAGCTGGAATTGTCGAGGTATTGTGTAAGACATTACACTAACATTTACTGTGGAACGGATACTCCAATGAATTGATATTTTCTATACACATTCCCACTTTTGACTTGTCAGCTTGCATATCGGTCTTTTAGTTAAGTCAACTGTCATGGACATTTTACAAAGAATTTGTACAATTACAAAGATACCGATAATGTAAATGATAATATTTTTTTCTAAAAGATGTCATTAATTACTCAGATTCCATTTTAGTTTAATAGTAAAGATATTTAAGTAAAGTTTTCCAAGTCTATAAATAAATTCCATTTTTCTGGCAATGTCTGCAAGGTTGTATTATGGAAATTATTCAACATTTTTATTGTCTTGAGATTGAAAATGACTATTTTGACTAATAGCTAGTTCCTGAAACATTATTTTTCTCCTATATAGTCATGTACCTGTTAATAGGTCTAGACTGCTAAATGGATTTTCGCCCAGCAATTACATGGTGATTAATAACCTTTGTATAGTTTCTACAATTGCCACGTGCATGAGCGCTGTTCTCTCCATCACTGACTGACAAAAGGGATAAGAGCTCCAAAATTTCTCCCCATTCAAGAAAATAATTAGTTTGAAATTAGGCATCTGCGGGGCCATCCATTGATCAGATCCCTCGTCTGTAGATCAAAAAGAAATTGCAATAAATCGTCATGTAGTGACTGTTACATAATGGCCCGATCAAGATATGTTTTTCTGTGGACAAGAAGTTAAAGGTCATTGATTGGCAACCCTCGTTTGCTGTCGTAATGCTGTGCTACAATTAAGTTCCTGTGTTGATATGGGGCTACATCATTCTACTTGCGTTCAGGATTAACATGGCGGTATGTAGGTTTGTTCTATATATATTTTAGAGGTATATTCAAGTGAATGTGCTTACTGTTAATCTAATACAGGATTTCATCCTTTTTGTCTTTCATTATGCATCGTTTTATTTTTTCTTTATGTCATCCTTTTAGTTTTCTTTATGTCATCCTTTTACCCTTTCATAATGTCATTCTTTTATTGTTCTTTTTGTCATCCGTTTAGTCTTCTTGATGTCATCCGTTTAGTCTTCTTGATGTCATCCGTTTAGTCTTCTTTGTGTCATCCGTTTAGTTTTCTTTGTGTCATCATTTCAGCCTTTCTTTGTGTCATCCGTTTAGTCTTCTTGATGTCATCCGTTTAGTCTTCTTGATGTCATCCGTTTAGTCTTCTTTGTGTCATCCTTTTAGTCTTCCTTATGTCATCATTTCAGCCTTTCTTCATGTCATCCTTTTAGTCTTCCTTATGTCATCATTTCACCCTTATTCATGTCATCCTTTTAGTCTTCTATTTGTCATCCTTGACTTTAAGTGCACAAATTGCATAATTTATTTTAATACACTGTATATGCCGACCTTAAGTAGGCAGAAAAACCTGTAAACCCATCCATCCAAAACTGCAAAACTTGCAAGATAACAAATATATGCACAAAAAAGTCATTATGAGGTAAAACTATAGATATAATATACACATTTAGGTCACAGTACATAACAGTACTGCTTAGAAGACAAAAATACATTTATATTCTTTGAAAGTTCAAGAAGTTGTAGAATTCTTAACTATTTTGAAATATCAATCCCTGTATGATTCCAGGGTGGAATAGGTTCCAGTACCTGTATTTGTTGCAAAAGTTTATCAGTGGGGATCCAGCCATCTTCCCGAGGCAAAAGAGTTAACTGACTTTAAAAAGTCCAGTTTCCACCCTTGCAGAACAAGGCTGGAATTCCTGGGCTCGATCATAGCGCCACCAGTGGCTGTTACGAGTTATGTCCCTTCTATGACTCTCCTATGGACCAATCAGATTCTACCTCTCGTATCACTTGCATTTGCTTAAAACAGAAGTCAAGACGATCTGATCGACAATCAGTATCTATATTGTGATAAAACGGGTCTTACATCGCGAAGCGCATCAAATCACGAAAGCACCTTGATTGAAAACATGAAAAGATTTGGAAAATATCTGTTGACAACGATTTGGCGATGCACATGCTTTGCAAATCCTGCAATCGACCTAACTCTGCATGACAGTTTACGAACCAGATTTCAATTTCATTGTGAGATTTTGATTGGACTATGCATAGACTCGTTAGTCCAGCCAAAATCTAACTCCATAATACCAACCTAGTTCGGGATGGGTGGAAACTGGACTTTTATAGTCAGTTAACTCCTTGCCTCGGGAAGATGAGATCCAGTGGTCACACGATGTGACCTGGGTGATTGTGTCTCCTCATGCTCATACTGTCAAGCACTGGTTTGCCTAGTTCAGATTAGAACTATATTTTCAGGCTGCTGTGATATAGATAGAATATAGACTCCAGCATGAAACAACACTCACTGGTATTAATGAAAATAAATATTGAAAAAGTAACCATTCTTGTTGAAAATTTAGTCAGATCCATTGCTCTTGTCAAACAAGTGTTAATCTATATGTTTACGTTATAGAACATCTTTATTAGCAAAAAATCGGTTTTGCATGAAATACTTGCCATCAGTTCCCACTTGAACTGACGGCATTAAGATCTTGTATGAGCGATGGCAATAAAGTACATTAATGCATGAAAAACATGTAATGCATTCCCTGATGCATGGCTGCAACTGCACATAAAAAAACAACATCCATTCATTGTCACTGTGGTAGTAATTGCGTCAGATCTGAGGCCGTGTGTTCTCATAATGCAGAACTTCTGCCACTCGCTGTGAGAGAATGACTATATCATAGACTTCCTGGTATTGCCATTCACCGGGACAAGGTAATGGAACGTTCAGGCATGATTGCAGCTGAACATGATGCGGCCATGTTGCAGGAAGTCCTGGCCTGTTTCAAGGTGGTGTTAGAAAACACCAGTCATGTTGGTTTAATTTTGTAATGTGAAGACTAGCTGTTGGTTGGTTCACCACTTGTTGATTTAAAAATGTGTGCAATATGATAGGATTTATTACAGATATGTTCATATTCATGTGAACATTAATGGATTAATGTCTCTATTTATCTTTTCTGGATTTGTTGTCAGATTAGAGAACAATATTATAAACTTAGTGTATTATTAATGAAGGAACTGATATGGAGGGTTTTATGATAACTGTTAATGTTTAGTGGGTATCAACGTTTGTTTTGTTTTTACTGAGATTACATCTTCTTATGAAGTCAGACTTGATTAAAGTAATTCAGCACAATTTTAACATGAATAGCCACTCTCACACAGTATTCTGACTCCAAGCTGACCAGCCCTTGTTTAATTACCTTAAGGGGCAGTGGGGTAGCCTTTTGATAAAAGCGTTCCAGCCGTGATATTGCTGGAATATTGCTAAAAGCGGCGTAAAGCCATACTCACTCTCTCACTTAATTACCTTAATACCAAGTGTGAGGCATCATAACAACAACTGCCATCTTTTAACATCTTTTGGGATGATGCGACCGGTATCAAACTCCCAGCTTTCCACTCTCCGGGCAGACACTCTATCCACTAGACCACTGAGGCAGTCAAACTATTGGGGGAATAAATAACGCAAGGTCTTTGTCTAGGCAAATCTCCATGGATGATACATGCACTGTCACATCCCTTGTGGCTTGTATTTTATTGTTTAAGTCAAATATATTACAAAATGTTCATTCCTTTTTCTATTATTTGAGTAATTGTTTTGAAAGCTTTTCTAAACTCTCAAGTAGTTTTGTTAAGTACTCAAAAGATTATTCATATTTACAAGTTTCTTACTTGAAGGTGATGTTTGAGTAGCTCACTAGTTTGCTTGTCAAGTTAGCTTGTCATGCCGAAAGATTGGGTTTGGTTCCTCATGTTTCCAACCTCATGTTTCCTTCCCGAGTTAACTGACTATAAAAGTCCATTTTCAACCATTGCCAAACAAGGCTGGTATTATGGAGTTACATTTTGGCTGGACTAACGAGTCAATGCATAGTCCAATCAAAATCGCGCAACGAAATTGAAATACGGTTCGTAAACTGTTTTGCAAATTTCTGTCGATTGCAGGATTTGCATAGGATGTGCACCACCAACTCAATATTTTCAAAATCTTTTCATGTTTTCAATCAAGGTGCTCACATGATTTGATGCACCTCACGATGTAAGACCCATTTGATCACAATATAGATCTTGATTACGGTCTTGCCTGGGCGCCGCCATTTTGTTTGAAGCAAATGCAAGTGATATGAGAGGTGGAATCTGACTGGTCCATAGGAGAGTCATAGAAGGGACATAACTTGTAATAGCCACTGGTGGCTTTATGATAGAGCTCAGAAATTCCAGCCTAAATCGGCAAGGGTGGAAACTGGACATTAAAAGTCAGTTAACTCTCTTGCCTCGGGAAGATGGTTTCCAACCCATTGGTGTCGGCTGATGTAAAAAGGCGCGAATGTAGTAGTATGTTATAGCTTCTGACCAGACCGAGAGGTTCAAATTAGATTAACACTCAAATACCTCCAAAATTGTTTGTTGAGGCAATGCTCGAGTGTTGATCTAATTTAACCTAAAAACTAAAGGGCAACTATTACGTACTGGCAGAGAAAAATATACTTTGAATTTTATTTTTGGAACACCTATGCACGTGCATTTGAATACCTGGACATGTGCAACTTCTATTGTAAGACAGGGGATTTATGGATATGAACACCTGTGACAAACAATAGAGAAACATGTAAATTGTCATAATCACACCTATCTCTTATGGACACAATTAATTACAAAATTTCCATTAGCTTCCAGTATTTTTTACCTTTTGACTTTGGAATTAAAATGGACAGGTTTGGTTAGAATTAGCAAACCATATCAACAAAACTAGCCACATGCATTAAAGAACACATTGAACATAAATCTATACGGTTGTTTATTCCACGTCAGAC